TATACCCATCAAACAGTCCCTCTCCATTTTGCCTTGCCCAGCCTCTTATCAAACACTTTGTGCTTGTGGGAGTTTCGTATAAATGGGATCATACAGTATGTTACCTTCTCTGCCTGGTGTCTTTTTCTTCCCGTAATGTTTTTGAGGGCCATCCACGAGCAGCTTGCCAATTCTTTCCTTTTGGTATATACCTTTTGGGAGAGGAGTTACTTCATCACATTCTGATTCTGTCTTTAATCTTCTTAGGAGTTGCCCAACCTTTTCCCACAGCAGCTTACCATGGTACCTTCCTGACAGCAATGGATGAATGTTCTAATTTTTCACATTCTTGTCAACACATGTGTTTTCGGGCTTTTCCTTGTGGGAATTTTTATGATAACTGATTCCACTGCTATTTATGTTATGACCTTGTTAAATTAACACTTGTTTATTGGCGGACAGGGTGCTGGATTTTAGAAATTTGAATATTTTCCTTTGTTAGTATTCTTAGGTTTTCAGTTGATCTTTAAGAAGATCAACTGAAAAAAAAATAAAAAGGATTTGCCTTATTTCTTATTTTCTTATTTCTTATTTCTATTTCTGTTGTTTTTATATTTTCTGTTTCATGAATTCCTGTTCTACACTTTGTCATTTCCTAGTTTGGTGCTTTGGGTTTAACCTTTCCCCCCCTCCTAGTTTCTTTTTTTTTTTTTTTTCAAATTTTTTAACATTTTTATTAGTGAAATACCATGAGGTACAGTTGTAGACTTACAAATTTTTATGCTTGGGTTTCAGTTATACAATGATCCAGTATCCATCCCTCCACCAGAGCCCATTTCTAACTTATTTATTTATTTCGAATACCCATCCCTCCACCAGTGCCCATTTCCCACCACCACGGATCCCAGTATCCCTCCCACCCCCCAACCCCCATCTCATCCTGCCCTGCCTCTGGAGAGAACAGAGGGGAATGCCCTGCCTCCTAGTTTCTTAAGGTGGAAGCTTAGGCTGTTGATTTGAGCTTTCTTTCCTTGGAGAGGACTCTTCTTCTCAGCAGTACTTGGGGGGCTGATATTGTGGTGCTGATGAGACCTGGTGGTTCTGGGACTCAGGATCTTCTCTGGGGTGTTGCACAGCAGGGAAAATTCAGGGAGGGAGATCAGACTCAAGGCCTTGTACATGCCAGGTTTACGTGTCACCCCTTTCAGCTGGTTCCCTGACCTCTCTTTGTATTTTTTAAATTAGGAGCTTACAGTTTTAAATTTCCTTCTGAGCATTTCTTCATTGCATCCCTTATGTTTTGATCTCTTGCATTCTCTTTTTTTTTCTCAGAGTGTTGAATGGTTCACCTTATGGAGTGTTTGTGCTTTGACCCTCTTATTGTTTAAGAGTATGTTTTACGTCGTAGTTTGAGAATTTTTCCAAATTCACTTCTGCTATTGATTTTTAGTTTCGTTCCTTTGTGGTCAGAGAAGACACTGTATGATTTCAGTTTGCAAGCATGTATTGAGGCTTGTTTTGTTGCTGAACATATGGTCTGTCCTGGAGAATGTTTCCTGTGTACTTGAGAAATGTGTATGTTGTTGCTGGATGGAACATTCTGTATGCTTCTGTTAGTCTAGTTGATTTATGGTATTGCTCAGGTCTTCTGTTCTCTTGGTTTTGTGTGCTGGAGTGCTGACGGTGGCATGTTGATGTCTCCATCTTCCCCAGTTTCATTGGTCAGTTTTTGTTTCTTATATTTTGTAATAAGCTGTTACATATGTTTACGGTTTTCTTGACCCCTTTTTAGCATGTAATTGCCCTTCTTCTGTAACTTTATTTGTTACAAGCTTATTTGTCTGGTAATAATAGTATGTCCTCAAGGTTCTTTTGGTTACTGCTTACACAGCATATCTCTCTGTCCTTCGATTTTCAACCTACTTGTGTTTTGGGTTCTAAAGTATGTCTCTTGTCGCTGTACTAACATTTTAAAAACTCCATTCAGGGGCTAGAGAGAGAGCAGCGCTTAAGGCGCTTTTCTTGCATGTGACTGACCCCGGCTCCATCCCTGACTCTCAAGGTCCCCTCAGTACCACTAGGAGTGGCCTCTAAACATAGGGCTGACGATAGTCTCTAAGCACTGTCTGTGGCCCCAACGTCCATCCTTTGTGTCAAAAACCCATTTTGCCAGTTTCTGCCATTTGCACTTTTAATTATGGAGGTTGAGGTAGCCCTGTAGCACTGTCCTCCCGTTGTTCATCGATTTGCTCAAGCGGGCCCAGTATCGTCTCCATTGTGAGACTTGTTACTGTGTTTGGCGTATCGAATACGTCACGGGGAGCTTGCCAGGCTTTGCCGTGTGGGCGAGATACTCTCGGTAGCTTGCTGGGCTCTCTGAGAGGGGCGGAGGAATCGAACCCTGGTGGGCCGGGTAGGCTGTGTGCCAGGCAAACGCCCTACTGCTGTGCTATAGCTCCAGCCCGGATATGGAGGTACTTTTTATTATTTCCTTATGTCTTTTTGTTCATACAAATAGTTCCTACTCATCACTATTTTTATTTGGCTAGAGATTTTCTTAGATTCCCTTCCCATTTCTTTTATGGTATATTTTCCAATTATTAGTGGCTTCCCTGGGTAGTACATTATACATTTTAACTTTAACTGATTCAAATGTATACAACTCAGTTTTAATTCTGTACACAGTTTTCCTTTCGTATTACTTCATTCTTCTTCCCTTATGCAATTATCATGAATCCTATCTTATAATTGTAGGCATATCAAAATAGACTTATGATTGTTTAATGTATTTGTGTAGTTGGTTGAATTCTAATTGCAAAACTAGCCTTTGTTCTTAGAACAGATTCTGTCAATGATTATGTGACTGTTTTATTCTCATTATCTATTGCTGGTTCAGTTTCTTAAACTTCACTAAGTGTGGTGGTTTACCAATAGGGTCAGTCTCAAAGAATGCCATAGACGGATATTGGTACATTGAGGTTACACGCGACACTCTACAGCTTCTATGCTTTCTGCTGGTCTCTCTGTAGCCTCCTGCGGTCCTCTCAGAGTTGTTAGGGGGAAGGGAAACCCTCAGTGGCACCATAACTTGGCTACAGACTAGCCACCCTTTGAAGATTTAGTAACAGATCTCCAAGCGCATCCATCAGCCTGAGGCTGTGAGCCTCAAGGGTCTCTCGCCAGCATTTTCATCAGACTCGTTTTCAAGGGCACTCTTTGCTCTCCGGGCACCTTGTTTTTTCTTTTCTTTTTGTTTTTGGGCCACACCTGGCAGTGCTCAAGACTTACTCCTGACTCTGTGCTCTGGCGGGGCCCAGGGGACCATATGGGGCTCTGGGAGCAAATCAGATGCATATACAACAAGTACCCCTGTGTATCTCTCAGCTCCAGGATGCCCTCAATTTCATCCTGGACTTGCCCATCTATTAGCAGCAAAGCCATTCTTACTGTGGACTAAGTCAGTATTACTTTGGGGAAAACTTCTGCTTGGGTATATCTTTCTTTTTAAGATTGCCCAATTCTTTTCCAGATCTGTAAATCAAAATTGTCACAATCAGGGCACCAAGAACAAGGATGTTTAACCAAATCTTGATATGGATGTTGGCACTGGTAGCTATGCCAAGGATCTGAATGACCACAAAGGAATTTTTAGCTCCACGCTCAATACATTTAACATTTCTTGGTGCCTACTTTCTTACTCTCGAGACTGTACTCAGTGTACTCAGGGGCTTTTCTGGGGTCATTCCTAGAAGTTCTTGGGGGGACTGCAGTGCCCCAGGTCTCCCAAATGCAGAGAATGAGCTCAGCCCAATTGAGCTCTCTCTGGCCCTTAACAAGCTGTAGATTCAGAATCCTGGTCTCAGGAGTTAGAAAATTATTCTTCTCTTTAGTTTTTGAAGGAGTTTATGTTAAATTGGTGATCCTGTTTAAATATTTTGTAGAATTTATCAGTGAAACCACCAGGATGTAGGTTATCAGGGGTGGGGTAAGAATTTCAAATATTTGCTTAAAAACAAGATTATTTAGATAATTGTTTCATTGTCAATTTTTTATATTTTATTTTTCAAGCAATTTGTATAATTAATGTACATTTTCAAAAATTTTAGCATAAAGTTAGTAATATTCTAATAACAGTTTAATGTTTGTAATGACAAAAACTGTTGTAATGTCATAGAAAGCATTTACATAATGCTTATAACATATATTTCATTTCACAGATATTAATGCTTTTAGTTTTCATAGATATTCACAAGATATTACCATCTTCTGATAGACATATATAGATGAAGAATATAGATGAAAAATATAAAGAATATAGCTTTGTAGGAGAAGAATATAGAAGAAGCCAAGATAACCTAAGAGCTTAGATAAGTTGCTAAAGTTACAGACTTTGTGTATTAAGGGCTTACAATGTAATCTAGGTGGTCTGAGTCTCCAGTCCGTTTTTCTTATTTATTTACTTTGGTTTTCGTAAATGACAGATAAGTGTTCTGTTTTTCTTAGGAATTTTGCCGTGCCCTTTTTGGAAACCAACCTTGCTCCTGCCACTGTTAATCCCACTGAATGGAAATATTTGTTTCTGGTATTTCCAAGTAGAACGTGGAATGCCTTCTCTTCATAAAACCAGTACATACAAAGATAGGCATATTTGAAATATTATTGTTAACACTTTTTCTGCCACGTAATATGTAGGAAAAAACTTCTGGGAGACTTCTGGAAGTTCATTGCAATTTTTAATGTGAAATATTGTGTCTATAGGAAGATATTAGAAGAAATTTTTTTTAAAATTTATGTGCTGAAGTTTATGCCCAATTCAGTCAGCTTAATCAATGGCTGAATAAATAATGGTACTCCTACATTTTAAAAAAAATTATATGCTAAAAGATTCAAAGTTATATAAAAGTTGTAATTTTGTACTTCCTCATGGATTTTTTTGAGATGTTTATAAGATGATAATAAGAAAGAAACATAATTTTACAAACTTTTTCACCTGACTTAATTTGTGAATTAATGTTTTTCAGGGTTATTCAAATGCTCACAAGAATATTCTTCAGGTGGACCAGAACTGTGTTCGTAATTCTTATGATGTCTTCTCTTTGCTGCGGTAAGAAACTTAGAATTTTTCTGCATTTCCTAAAGAATCTTCATGGTGAGTTTGTGATACTGCAGTGTGAGGCAATGCATGGGAAGTTTAGAAGCTGTTATTCAGTCTTAGCATTTTTTAGTGAGAGCATCATAAATTTTGTAGCAGCAGCGATTTCAGTTTTATCTGTTTCACAAAACCTCTGGAAAGCTATTTCCTTTCTCTGGACACTAGTAGAGAATGATTGGAAGCCAGCGATCTCCAACCAGGGACAAGAACTGATTCTGATCTTTTAGGTTATGGTTATAAAGAACAGCAACTCGAGTCACACAGTTTAGACTCACCAAACCTTAAAAAACTACTAGATTATCAGATGAGCTTTCTACTAGTCTTGGATAGACTTGGAGTTTTAGCCTGCAGTTAAAAGAATCATCCTGAGAAAGCAAAGAAGCTTCACATGAGTCTCATGCTTAAAGGCATAAAGACATATTGTGCATAAAGGCATAGTATTTTCATCAAGATTTTAAAATTTTGGTTTTGCTTTGAAAAGTAAATCATCAAGGATATTTTCTAGGAGTCCGCTCCAAAAATAGATGGAGTTCAGAATAGTTAATGGTGACACTCAAACCTATATTCACTGCACTCTGACAGATGTTTCGTTGATATTTGATTTTGGCTATATTTTGCTAATGTTTACATAACACATCATAAATTTCAGACCTTTAGATATCCTTTATACATCCACTAGAGGAAGAGCCCAGAAGGATGGTGGACTCTTGTCCAGCTGGATGTTTGTTTAATTTATAGACATTATGAAATGGGCCTTTTCTTTGCACAACTTGAACCTAATTTTGCTCCAAGTTTGGCTACGTGGACTATGTAAATTTCTCTTCAGAGACTGATTTCATGGGGTCTGAGAAATAGTACAATGGGCTAGGGCTCTTGCCTTGCATGTCACTGACCTGGCTTTGATCCCTAGCACTACATATGGTCCCTTAAGCACAGAGCTAGGAGTGAGCACCACTGGGTATTACCCAAAAGCTGTTTCCCTTTCCCCCAAAGGGAGGGAAGAAAGAGACACTGATTTCAACTACAGTTCCACGTACATACTTGATGACTTCTGTTTGTTTTTCACTTAGACTTTTTTGGATATCAACAGAATGAACATGATTTAGTATTAGATGGTGAAAATAGAAAGCAGGAAGTACAAAATATGTAACCCATACTACTCTCTTTTTCTGTCCCTTATTTGTTTTGTTTTTGGGTCACACCCACTGTGGTCAGGGCTTACTCCTGGCTCTGTGCTCAGAGATCATTCCTGGTAGAACCCAGAAGGTTTATAGAGTGCCAGGGATCGAACCAGAGTCAGCGGAATACTATCCCTGGGCCAGTAACTCTTATTTCTGATTTTATTCAATCTTTGCTTACATTAAGTAGTGAAAAATATGTATGTTTAGAAATAGTTTGAAATAGAAATAAGCTGCTAGTGATTTTTGAACTGTTTCCTTTAGTAAAATGAAGGAACTGATAATAAAGAAATTTTTGAGTATGAAATTGTGTGATCTTTGAAGAGAAATCAGTACAATTGAAGGGGGAAAAAGGAAAAGAAAGGAGGCTAGAGAGATAATACAGTGGGTAGGATAATTGTCTTGTTGGAGGCACACCTGGGTTTGATCCCCAGGACTCTGTATGTCTGCTCAGCCTGGTAGGAGTGATCTCTGAGCCAGGAGTAAGCCTTGGTGTACCACTGGGTGTGGCCGCAAAACAAGAAACAAAAAGGAACAGAAAGGCAGTGAGAGGAGGATGATTTGGGATAGGGGAAGCATCACTAGAATCTAAGACATTAGAGATTCAGGGAGTCCTGAAAGTACTGAAATGATACAGGCAGTTGGAATTGATGGAAGACTGTTGAAGTTTGGAAAATGAAATGATATCCTTTTAAAGTTTCGTATTTACACATCAACTTTTGTCTTCAATATAGAGTCAGACACGAAGGTGTTATGATTTATTTATTTGAGAGCACTTAGCAAGGTAGAACAAATAGAAGATTGGTCTGAAGGTTTTGTGGCAGTAAATTTTATAGATTTTTTTACAGTGTAACTTATCTTTCTAAACTGGTGGTCATAAGGTTCACATACTATGTAATAATGGAGGAAGATTTCTGAAAATCCTAGAACTGTCCATAAATACAAAATTACTGGAATTAATTTGATTTGCTTAATTATTTAACATTGATCTTAGCAGTATATGGTTTTTGGGGTTTTATTTCTAGGTGCTTTCTAGATTCTGTTAGCAGTTTGATTACCTTTTGACATCATCACCGTTGTGTAAATAATTTTAGCTGTCAATGTAGAGTTGATGAAGCAGATAAATGTCTTCTGAACCTGATCAAGGATCTGTTGTCAAATTACCTGAAACTTGACAGGATCTAGAAACGTTGAGTTCTATTTGTCAGAGTTAATGAGTAAAATATAACTTCTCTATAGTTGTCTCAAATATCAATAAAGAATAACCATCGTTTATCTGCTCAAGTAGACGCTGCTCTTCCATAGGTTTTGTCATGGTGTATGTAAAGTATATAATGGGAAGCTTTTTTGCCCATTTTATTGGTAGCTTCAATGCAGTCAATATTGTCTCTGGATAAAGTAGCACTGTAGCTCTGTCCTCCCGTTGTTCATCGATTTGTTGAGCAGGCCCAGTAACATTTCCATTGTGAGACTTATTGTTACTGTGTTTGGCATATCGAATACGTCATGGGGAGCTTGTCAGGCTTTGCCATGCGGGCCAGATAGCTTGCTGGGCTCTCTGAGAGTGGTGGAGGAATTGAACCCGGCTCAGCCGGGCTGGCGATTTACAAGGCAAACACCCTACCGCAGCCCACCTTTTCCTGCTTCTACTTTGGTTTATGATTTACTGGATCTGTAATTTTATGTGAAAATGCACAGAATTTGAATTCTTTGGTGTCACTTAATAAATTTCTTAGTGCCATTTGGGAACTAGGTTTTTTGTTTTTGTTTTTGTTTTTTCTTTTTTGAGTCATACCCAGCAATACACAGGGGTTACTCCTGGCTCTGCACTCAGAAGTTACTATCCTGGTGGTGCTCAGGGAACCATATGGGATGCTGGGAGTCGAACCCAGGTTGGCCGCATGTAAGGCAAATGCCCTACCTGCTGTGCTATCTCTCCATCCCTTTTTTTAAAAAATAATACATTCTAGTTAATAGTTTTTATATATTGTGCCCAAGGTATACCTACATTTCTTACATTTTTTTTTTTTTTTACATTTCTTACATGTAATTGTCACCTGGGAAAAAACAGAAGGTGGTGTCTTTTGTAGCACTCAAGACTGAGCATTAAAGTTCCTGCTGATAGGACATATAGGAAATATATATTTTATCTAAAAAAATTATATTTTGTTTTAGATCTTTAATTTGGCATATTAATATAATATTAATTGTGAATATATGATATGACAGAAAATCTGTGACCTGAGGTTCTAGTTCAGATTCATTGCCCAGCAGTTAAGAATTTAGGCCAGTTCTGTTTAATTAATTTATTTGCCTTAGTAAATTTTTCCACTGACAAAGTAATGGCAGCTCTTTCCAATTTTATATTCAGTATGTGTGGTAATAATTAAACTTTTGCTTCTTAACCCTTGGTAGTTCCTGGATTAAGAGTTTTCATGTAAAACAGACTTTAGGAGCCGCTATACCTTTTACGTTCAGTAGTTTCATGTTGAATGTTCACCACAAGGTGTCAATGTTGCTCTTCACTTGGCATGTGAAATTCTGTTTTTCAATTTTGACGTGAGAAAAGTAGAGTTATAAATTACCAGCACACATTTATATTTTGAAGTGAGCTCCCTGCCAACGCCCCAATTCTTATTCCCTTCTAGGTTAAGGAAGTTGCGGTATTAATAGATAGCATTCTCCTTTTCATTCTGTTGTTTATGTTTATCCTGTTGCTGAGTAGGGCTGGAGTGATAGCACAGCGGGTAGGGCGTTCGCCTTACAAGCGGCCAACATGGCCGACCCGAGTTCGATTCCTCCGCCCCTCTCGGAGAGCCCGGCAAGCTACCGAGAGTATTCGATATGCCAGACACAGTAACAACAAAGTCTCCAATGGAGACGTTACTGGGCCCGCTCGAGCAAATCGACGATCAACGGGAGGGCCTTTACCTTTACCTTTTATCCTGTTGCTGACTGAAAGAGATAAAGAGGGAAGGAGTGACAGAGCTGGGTGTGCACTTTGAACTTCTAATCCTGTGGTACCCATTGACCTGAGGAACGAGACTGGGAGATGGAGGTGACAGACCCTGAGGCTGAAAGACTACCTTTGGTTTCATGGCTGATTTTTCTTTAATAATGTTTCAAAAATTATATTATAAAGCCAAAATCATCAAGACATTGTGAGACTGGCTCTGAGACCTGTGGGATAGACTTGAGAAGTGCAGAGGCAGATTCCCGATTCCCAGGTAGATGGACAGTTGAACATCTGCAAAGGAGCGAAGTGGAGCCTCTTCAATAAATAGAGTTGGGAAAACTGGTCAGTCATGTGGAAAAACTGAACTCAGAGCCTTATCTCACACCATGCTATCGAAGTGGATCAGAGATCTCAATATCAGACCTGAATCCATAAATTACATTGAGGAAAACCCTGTGTTCGTTGTCACACTATTAACAGTAGCCCAAGTCTGGAAAGAGCACGACTCTCCAAGAACATACAACACTGCTCAGCTAGAAGGAAAGACAAAATCATGCAGTTGTCCACCACTTGGATGGTCCTGGAGGGTTTCATGTTGAGTGAAGTCAGCCAGAAGGGCAGGGACAAATACAGTGGACCCTCTGGTGATGCAGTGTCGGGGTGTTGTAAGCGCGAAACCCTTCCATTGAAATCCTAAATCATGATGACTAAAACATTTTCAAACAGAGAGAGATAACTTCCACTCTGTTGTAGTAAAATAGTGAGAATTGCTCCGATGCTCTTTAGTATAGTTTTGATTCTTTCACGTTTGTCCTATA